AATAACATTCTACTTGGACGAAGAGCTTGTCAGTATGATGTACGATCCATTTCAAGGCTTCAGCCCTTGGCGGATCTCTAGGATGGAATAATTGGATAATGGATCGAAGGTGACTTTTTGAGATGCATATTGAGAAGGCCGAACAAACTCAGGAAACGGTGGCCCAATTGAGGGCTGCCATCCCCTCGGAGTGAAACTCCTTCTAAATCCGGAAGGAGTCGCCCTCTGGTGACCTGGTTCATCACCAACAACATGGGTGACTGTCTTGAGCGATCAGCGGTGTTTTGAAAACTAGTAGCATACGACACGGATGGCGGCATGAAGTTTCAGGCATTGGATTGGCTTGCTGCAGTGAAGGTCAAGACCCTCCTGATCTTGGTATACCTTGTGCCCTTGGAGACACCAAGGACCAGGTATCATCTCTCTCTCCCCTCTCCCTACTAATTCACTTTCTCTAACTTTTCTCTCTCCTCTTACTCACCCTCTCTACTTCTTCCTCTTCTACCTCACTCACTTCCTTCTAATCCCTCTCACTACTCATACCCCTCTCCCCACCTCACCTTTTCTCCCACCACCCATTATTTCTCTATTTTATTCATTTATTTTCTTTTCTTTCTCTTCTTTTCTCTTTGTTTCTTGATCCCTCCCAACCTTTCCCATCCCTTTCTCTCCCTTTCTGTCACCCTCCTCTCCCACAACTACAACCCCATCACTTCCCCCATCTCCCCCTTCACTCTTTTTTTTTCTCTCACCTATTTTTCTCCTTTCTCCTTCACTTTTTCATTCCCCTTCCCCCCAATTTTGAAATTTTATGTTTTTCTTCTTTCTAATAAGTTTTTATCTTTCTTTTGATTTATATTTCCTTTTTTTTTTAAAAACTCGAATTATCTTATTCCCCACCTTCTTTTCTCATTTTCTGGTTTATTTCATTTTTCTTTTTATTTATTCTGAAAATTCGATTTTTTTTGCGGCACCCTTAAAATCTGATTAGGAGTCAGTCATTCTTGCTTTCGGCACACATTTTGACCCTGTGGGGGTAACGAAGTGCTGCCGAAATTTTCTCATTTTACTTGGCCCTTCTTCTTGACAGCACAGTTTAACCCCATGAGGTTAACGAAATGCTGTCGAAATTTTTGAAAAATCCAACACATAATTTTTCTTCACCTCCTCATTTACTTATTTATTTCTTTATTTCTTTATTTATTTTCTAAAAATTTTGATTTGCGGCATTTTGAAACCTAGTGTGCTTATCTTGGTCTCTCCTTTCCTTTGGCACAATTTTTTTTTTTTTTTTTTTTTTTTTTTTGACAAGTTGTCACTTTATATTTCAAAAACAAAAGTGGTCGAGGCCGAGGACCTCACAATTCTACCCGGTGTTGACAAGGAAACTTGCTGGAAACCGGGTCCAGCGTCCCACGACCACACTGCCTCAGTAGGAAGACGAACTCCTCAAAATAGCCTTGAAACACAGGAAAAGGTGGCTGAACTAATCATAACAAAACTCACTTAGTCTATTCCTTCAGCCTATAGTATGATATCCTTGCAGCGCATGAGAAGTACAAGGCCGGCATGTTTCTAAGACCAAAACACTAATGGCAAAAAACTACAACTTATAATCTGCAGATCTCGATAATGCGCAAGGCAATTCACGAGAATTTTACAGTTTTCACCCTAAGTAATATTCAAAAGGCATACAAAATTAACCCTAAGTTTAAAACTACACACATACAATTTTTAAACTGAACGTAATAAAATTATCTTTATGAAATATGTCATCCGAGGAGGCAAACGATTAAAAACCACCAATCCAAATTCCAAAATATATCGGACTACAAAAAGAAATCTCGATAGCTAAAAGCTGGGAAGAGGAAATAGTCATTGGGGTTGCCCGCTCAACCTTACTATCCAAAACGCTGTAAAGAACCTTTGTTGCCTAGGCGGGTTTCCCACCACGCACCCAATGGTTACAACTCTAGTTTGCTCTTCCCCGGGTCTCTCGTATCATCCCTACCCTGTGAGAACCATCCAAGACTACTGCAATCATATCCCAGCACTTCAGAATACCGAGAATCTAAGAAGTGTTTAACTCATCGCCTTCGGGAAACGTTCCCACCGCCACTAGTGAGACTCCCACTCCCATTGTTGGCGCCGCCACCCATAAGGCTTCAAGTCATTACAACCGTCCAAATTCCAAAAATAACAGAGTAACACACATAAGATCTACAAGATAGAAACTAGACAGGCAATCTTTCAAAACAGAATTGGGACAGGGATAAACATTAGGATTACCTCCTCAACCTCACTATCAAAAACGCTGTAAAGAGTCTTTGTTGCCTAGACGGGTTTCCCACCACGCACCCAATGGATACAACGCTAGTTTGCTCTTCACCGGGTCTCTCATACCCTCCAACCCTGTGAGGAATTCCCTAAACCAATACAAGGATACCCCGGCCACTTACGAGTGACGAACTCTTTAAGGTGTAAGTGGCCCTACATCACTGTTTCCTATACTTGAAACACTACATCGCCATCAACAGAAGTGGTCCCAAGACAAAGCCACAAATTAAAGCAACCAACACACGAAGGAAAACGCTGTGCAAGTGTTCCAACAGATAAATCAATCAATCATGGGTCTTCAACCTACACCATAACCCAGGAACGGATACTAAAACAACCATGACGACCAATTTAAGAGAATAACACCAAACATGAAGTATATAAAAAGACTCAGACTGCTCTGCACCGTAGATAGAACGACCGAGCCTTGCTATAACCCTCGGACAAGCCGAAGCGCTGCCACCGCAACCGTACGCTCTCCCACTGCATCCAAATGCACCGCCCCGCCATCCGTGCTTTCTTAACGACCGAGGCGATCGAAGTAATATGTCCTGCGTATCCAACGCCCGACCTTTGGATATTGAAAAGGAGCCCCCCCTTACGAGCAAAAGGCTTAAGGGGAGGACGGCTCCTCTGGTATCTGGATGTTATTAGGTATAAAGGTTGGTATAGACTTCAAGTGTAGAGTATGGGACTGCCAAGATGCCAAGGCGATGAGTGCAAAACACTCCCTCCCCACTCAAGGGCAAGGTTCCGCCAGGGCATTGTCGCCATAGCTCTCACACAACTATGGTGCCTGGCTGGGTAGGCGCCACGTGAAAGATCAGTGTCACCACATCTCGACATCACAACCTACGCAGCCGCCTCTGACGACCGGGCGCCGCCACTGCCGCTATCGCCGCTACGTTAACGCACTTTTCGCGCGGCCTCCCCTCGTCATGGAGCAAAAGTTTTACATCCGCGCTTTCTGGTGACTCTTGGCACAATCTTGACCCCATGGGGCTGCCGAAAATTCCAAAAACAAAAATATTATTTCTCTCTTCACATTTTGTTCCCTTATTTCTTTAATTATTTTTATTATTTATTTATTTTTATTTTTCCCTCGAAATTTCACTGTTTATTTATTTTTTCCTTCCGCCTCCCTCCCATGCGTGCTATTTATTTTCTTGATTAGGTCACCGGTACCCTACCCTAACCACTCAAACTCCGGTTAGGGTTTTCTTAGGGTTTTTCTAGGGTTTAGGGTTTTCTTAGGGTTTTTCTAGGGTTTAGGGTTTTCCTAACCCCCCTACTTCCCCTTTCCTTTGGGGCACCCTGGACCCGAGCCACCCTTCCCCCTTTGCAGGCGCCCGCGCTCGACTCACCAACGCCTCTCGTCGCTTTCTACCGCGGACCCCCCCCTACGCCCTCCGCTCACGCGGACCTCCTCTGGCTCCCTCCAGTCTGACCTGTCACCTCCCCATGGCCCACGGCGTGTCACAAGCCGCTGACGCAGCGACGACCTCAACACCGGGCTCCATACCCATGCCGACGCACCAGGGCCATCAGCCCCAGGGGGATCTGCACACCCTCCTCACCCCCATCCTTGCGCCCTTAGAGGCGCATGTGGTGACTCTTACCGCTGACCTGCGGCAACTTTAGGACGTTGGTCGTCCTTCCTCTCCCCACTCTCTCTCTTCCCCTGGCTCCCAGTCCGGGCCCCCCATCCTCCGACATGGTGGCCATGACGGAGCTTCCTCCTCCGCTGCCCCCGACCCGATCATCCTGGTGACAGTCCACGCTCCAGGCGCGACGACCGCCAAGGGCCAGGCCCTCCCTCACTCTACGGGCGCACCTGCCCAGATTCCGGCCACTACGGCCACGGGACCACAGCCCGCTGCCGTGGTCTCAGCTTTTCCGGGTGCCCCGCTTCTCCCTCCTCTTCGCACGACCGCCTTGCCATTTGGCTCTCCCCCTTATGGGATGCCCCGCGCCGCTCGTGCGTCTGCCTCCCCCACTCCTACTACTCCTCGCTCAATCTACGTTCGACATCTCGAGGATGAGCTTGCCCAAACCCGGAACGGCCTCGCCCTCTAACGCCTTCATCCCCCCTACCCTCACAGGTGGCCACACCTTAGGGCGCACCCCCTTCTTCCTTTACTCTTCCTTCCATGCAGGCTCGCTTCCCTCGCCCTGCACCCCCTCCACCCCTATCCTACCTTCTTCCTATTGCCTCGGTTGTTGGGACCTCTTCTACTGCAGCTCCCTCTCAGCCTGTCGTTGTTGCCCCCGCCACTCCCCCATGCGGTCCGGGCGTACAGTCAGTTGCGCCCCTTTCTCTAGGATTTGCGTCGACTTACTCAGTCGTAGCGCATGCCTCTGCTCCTCGATCTCCTCATCGCCCAAACGGAGGCGCACCACTCATCCGCTTGACGAACATTGTTTTGTATGATGGTACAGGGATACGTGTGTCTCGGTGGCTGCAGTCTGCCACCCGCAAGCTCCAGCTTGTGGGCGTTCCACCCGACACGTGGGTGACTCACCTCTCCACGCACCTGCGTGGTGGTCCTTTCGACGCCTGGGAGAATTTCTACACCCTTATTGATCGTTTCTTGGCCAGCCTTCCCCTTGAGTATCGCTCCGAGCTATGGAGGTACGAGTTCACATCGGCCTCGCAGGCTTACGAGGTCGTTAGGGCCCATCAGCGGATGCAGGCCCGTCTTCAACACCCTTCCTCCTCCCAGCCTCAGCGCACTAGTTACGTCGACTCCTCCTCTCACGACACTTCCCAGCGCCGTTCCCCTTTCCACGGTCGCCCCCACCGTTCCGCGCAGCAGGGCCGCCACTTCTCGCACCGCTTCAGCGCGCTCGAGTATGGGGAGCAGGACGCTGTTGCCCCCCTGTCGCCTGAGGGTGACCATAGCGGCGACCTCGACCTCTGTGAGGCCGTCCACTACCACCTGGAGGACTTTACCCTCCATATAGCCGAGCGCCTCCAGCTCGCCCTCTCCACCCTCTCCCGGCATGCAACCACTCTGGTCACGCTGGCGCGTCATCCCCTGAGGTACCTCAGCAGGACCACCCTCAGGGCTTTGTCCCTCCTCGCGGTGTGCTTTCCGCCGAGGAGCGCGCGGCCATTTTGGGGCGGCGTGGGTGTTTGAGCTGCCGCCAGGACGGTCATACCTCCTCGCGGTGCCCTTACACCGCCGCCCTGGACCACCACTACGCTGAGCTCTCTCGCCAGCGTCGTGCTCAGTCCCCCCCCCAGCGCCTCGCATCCCTGCGGCGCCTCCTAACCACGGTGCAGTGTACACCTGCGCCCTCCTTAGTAGTCGGCTTCCCGACATCTCCATCGCGGTTTGCCCCTCTTGCTACTGGAGTCGAGGTATCGCAAGACCCAACAAAGTGTACTCAGCCCTCTGTCACAGTACCGTCTGCGCCTCCGCAGACCACCGTCTCCCCTCCTACCCCTCCGCGACTACCGACTCGTCGAGCAATTCGCTCAGCCCATTTTTGTGAGCACCTTGCGACTCGCGAGGATGTTGTGTCCTCTCTTCTGGACTTTAGCATGCACCAAGCTCATCAGGAGCGACTCACCCTGCATGTCGCTGCACTTCGTCACCTTCTCACCATTCTCTCTAACCCTGACCGCACCCTCTCGATCATTCCGGTACGACTGGGCCCTCCATGAGGGTGTACTCAGCGCTATGGGATTCTGATTCTCAGGGCGACTTCATTCACCCAGGTGTGGTGAAAGAAGCCCGCTTACCCACGACAGGGTCTCCAACTCCCATCTCCATCACCCTAGGAGATGACAAGACCCAACGATTCTTCGATCAGACGATTACCGACCTCCCCTTCTTCCTCACAAGCCGACTGATCGTCCCCCGACGTCTCGTCGCCACGGCTCCTCTGCACATTTCGATGTGATGGAGACGGGGTACGATTTCATTATCCGTACTCCGTGGTCTCGTCGGTTCTGCAGCACCGAGGCCGATTGAGCGACCAACACTCTCATTCTCAAAACGAAGTGTGGACAGACATATCGCGTACCTTTTATAGGTACCACTGTGACACCACACCCCGATCCTCCTCCCCGGAGCCTTCCGTGTCCACACCATCTCCTACTATCACCGTCATCTCGCCTCGGCAGTTCGCCCACTTCATCCGACAAGACGACGTCACCTTCTTTACGGTGAACGTCAAGAATCTCTTGCATTATGATCCACCCTGTCCAGACACCGAGCTCATCTCTCTGGAGTCAGATCCTTGTTCTATCTCTATGACTTTCATCTCTACTTCCCTCCCTCCGCCGTCTATCGGGTCCACCCCGTCGTCACGCGCTGAAGCGGACGCTGAGGAACATGCACGCTATACGACCGACCTGGAGCCCGCAGTTCGTGACCTCATTCGAGAGTACCACGACGTTTTCCCATTGTTGTTTTCGTACGCCGACATCCCACCGATGCGCGACGTCGAGCATTCCAACCAGCTTGTGCCTGACTATCGTGTTCACCACCAGGCACCCTACAGACTCTCGATCCCCGAGGCCACCGAACTCAAGCGTCAACTTGAGGAGCTCCTGAGACAGGGTTTCATTAAACCCAGCAACTTCCCGTGGGGTGCACCTGTCCTCTTTGCTCGCAAAGCGGATGGAACTCTCCGTCTCTGCATCGACTATCGCGGTCTCAACCGCTACACGGTTAAGAACAGTTACCCCATGCCTCGTTCCGACGAGTTGTTCAACTACCTAGCAGGCAACCGCTTCCTTACGAAGATTGATCTTCGTAGCGGTTACCATTAGATCCACGTCATTGCAGCGGACCAGCCGAAGACAGCGTTCCGATCACGCTTCGACCACTATGAGTTTACGATGATGCCATTCGGCCTCACCAACGCACCCGCTACCTTCCAGAGGGCGATGGACGGCATCTTCAGGGACATCCTGGAGCAGTACGCTCTCGTCTACCTCGACGATATCCTAATCTACAGTCGTACCCTTGAGGAGCATCTCAGACACCTCCGCGACATCCTTGACCGCTTGCGCAGACATGGCTTCTACGCCAAGCTGAGCAAGTGCCGCTTTGCCCAACACAAAGTGAATTTCTTAGGACACTACGTGTCTGACCAGGGTCTCCACGACGCGAAGATCACTACTATTGCGGAGTGGCCCATTGTCGGAGGGCGCGGTGTCCCGACCCTCCTTTGTGTGCCAGATTCCTGCTCAATACCGGGACCGTCCCTACCTCTGTTGCTTGTTAGGCGTGTTTCGAACCTCTACAGGCCTGGTGCCTGAGCTGGCGTTTGCTTCGGCAAAAGGGTGCGCCACTGGACTTTCCTTTGGTCCATGCAGGCTTGGCGCCCTGCTATACAACAGAGCGCAACCGGCCTATGGCCGTGGTAGCCGCCGGGTTCGCCCAGGGATGCAAAGGTAGAGGGACGGGCACAGTCTTTTCTACTGCGCGCCGAGTGCCCCTCTGCCAGGTTATGGGTTAGGTGCTCAAAGCTGCTGTCGCTGTCAAGCAAAATGGGACCAGGTAGGTACCCCAGACACCCACTCTTCATTTCTGCTGTGTACAGGATGCCGTCCACATGCTTTCGCTGCAGGCCAGGTACTGGTCTAAAGGACGGCGCAAAATTGACACGGTTGCTGGGCTTACCTGTGGTGCTGTGTAGGCTTGATTCCTGCCTTGCAGTGGGTCTGCAGCCGAAGTGACCGTCGGGTCTGGCAAGGACCACTTGGTCGTACACCGGGGCCCGAAGGTCGTGATCTAGGCTAGGTACAATAATAAAATAAAAAGGGAAGAAGAAAATAGGAGAAACGGGGAAGAGGAAAGTCGCGTGTCGAGTCTGTACCTTGAGACAATTCGATATTTTCGCCTGAGGTGAATAGGTGGCCTCAACTTGTAGTGTTGCTGTGACTTTTCCTTTTCCTTTGTTTCGATTTTATTTTTATCCTTGTTATTATTATTACTGCAAGTGGACCCCGCCACGGCCACACCGTGGCGCACAGCAACACTCGCTGATGGCGCCTTATTTTTGTTTCATGTCTCTTTCTTTCTCTCTCTCTCTCTCTCTCTCTCTCTCTCTCTCTCTCTCTCTCTCTCTCT